ATTGATTGACGTGATAAACTCTGAGTAGGGTGCGAGTGATTTGGTGAAATAAGAGGTCTTGTTTGCTTTGCTATAACAACTTCTTATTTTCCTTCAAATCTAGCTTGTTTTCCTTGGAACAAGCGTCTCAAACCACATGCTGACTTGTTTGGCTTGCTGCCTTTGTCTCATCAAGCTCGAGGATTCAAATTTGTCAGCCCACCCACCCACAACCACATCAGCTGCAACAGTGAAAGTCTCCTCATCCATGACGTGACCTGCGTCAACGGAAGCTGCCTGAGCGCCTGGCCGCTTTAGGCCTACCCGACCGTACGGCAAAGACCAGGCAGCATGCGTGTGAACTCCCCCGTGAAAATGTGAGTGCCCTGAGTTGATTGAATATTTCCTATTTTGTGAAACGTGGAATAATCATATTTGATTGGATGAGGAAAAATTTGGATATGCTGCCGAGTGTGTGGGCGACTTGGTGAGACTTTCTATTGATTGACGTGATAAACTCTGAGAAGAGTGTGAGTGATTTGGTGAAATAAGAATACTGCATATTGGATCGAGGGATTTGAAGGAAAGAAATGTCAGATGAATACCATTCTTTGTTGAGGAATTTCTAGTCCCGTTCTACCAAATCATCCACACAAGAAAACGTAAAGTAGCCGTATGCCAGATGAGCAAGTAGCATTGGAGCAAGCCTCTGATCATTTTCCGATTGTTGCGCAAAGGCCGCTATCTCCGAATGTGCGTGTGTCTTTATTTGCAACATTTGCTAACGTTGTTGACTGATTTGTCAGATTGCCGTTTTCGCAGATTCCGTTTCGGCTCTCACGTTGTGGAAACCCAGGTAACTAGCAATTTTCCTGTTGGGAACCAATGCCAGCCTAATCATGTATCAGTAACATCCTTGTCGAGGGGGTGTTGTTGTTTTCTCATCCACTTGGGATTCCAACCGTGCATCAGCTTCTGCGATGTATCCGTAATGTGGATCAAATGCACGATGATCATGCGGCCACATGTATACTGCGTGCTGCAGTTCATTCCAAACCGCCGGTGGGTATGAGCGCACATGGGCCCGCATGTCACACAAAACGGGGAAGGTGGTTTGATTTCAAACAAGAATGATGGTGGCGGTCCAAGCGACAGCTTGCGTCCGTTCAGGCATGTCTTGCACATGGTCAGATCGCGTGGATTGTTGTTGTAAGAGCATGCGTCAGGCTGCAATGCCGCTCACAATTGCTGACGTCAAGACTAGCCTGAATTTTGTTTGGGGCAAGGCCCATGCCAGACCACAGCTCTTGTCTGCATGTGATTGGTGCCAAGCTTTCTCTTTGTGTATTTGGCCGCAGGAAAGCGACCTCAATGAAACGTATTCATTCGAATTTTCCAGCAGCACGTCCTGGTCGTGTGCCGCACTCAGTTGACAAGAAGCCGCCCGAGTATCATGCGCCGTTATGCCACGGTTTGTGACGTTTCATGTCTGTTGTTGTATTTGCCAAACAGATGAGAGCGTGATTTGTGCGAGAGGTGTGCGCAAAAATGGAGCGGAAGCAAAGAAGCCATTACCTCACCATGTTATTCGTTGTGTGTGCACTTTAGGGTGCTCATGCCAAAACCGTTCAATACATTCGCAAGTACGGGTTTCTTCCCGGGAATGCCTGGGATATGTTACGCCAGGTTCCGCCTCACCTTTGATGCCGCCAATTGCAGGCTCTGGTGGGGAGAGTTGGGAGCTGAGGTTCACAGTGGCCTCACATGAAGTCCTCCTCGACTAGCAAAGGTCCTACTTTATGGATCCATCCGATGTTGTCCAACAACCGGAGCGAGTTCAATGGTGCGGTTGCGGGCTATTGTCCTAGTTAAGCCTGTCCATGCAAGCAATCCCAGCACGAGGCACATGGTTTGCCGCGCAGGTACCGTGCTTCGGACCGGACCAAGAAACGAGCAGCTTTTCTATGGAAAAGGCAGATGAATAGAGTGGTGCTTCTGTAGCAAGCCTAGCGTCATTTACAGAACCCTTGGGCGGGACTACATTGTTGGGGTTTGGGAGTCTCGAGAGGCTGCGAGAAGCTCGGCCAAGCAACTCGCAGGCTGATCTGGTTTGATGAGCTGAAAGAAAACTTTATTCTAAGCTCACACCATGTCAAGGTTCGAAAGCCCCCAACCCAAGCACCTTCGCTCTTTCCTCAGACTCGGGATTGGTCGGAAAAGACGTGGCCAAGCTAAGCTAAGGCAGCTGAAAGGGCCGAAAACAGTGGCCGTTCAGTCAGCCGAAGCCTCGATGAGCTTCAAGCACAGAGCTGGCGACAAACTTTCCACTTATGGGGGTCTTCTGCTGACCCAACATCTACGAGCGTTGGGTCGGAACGAGATGTTGGAACCAAACTTGCCTCAAAAAGTGGTTTTTTAGTGTCCATAAGGCCGTGCTGCCAAGGATGGCCAGCTAGGTTGTGAGGTTGTGAGGGCGAGACTCGGAGCTTCCATGTTGGCTGGCCGCAAAGATTGGGAGGGGAGGTCCAAACGTTCTTTTTTGGGCGCAAGCTTTGGGTTGGGCGGTCTGGAGACGCTGTTGCCTGGAACTGGGGTTTGGGGGGTTGCCCGGTTGGCGACAGGCAAGGAAAACCCGGCCAAGGGGCATGCGCGCGCACTTCCGACCGCCGAGGCAAGGTTCCGACTTAGCATCCTGCCCCGAACTGGTGTCCAGGTAGGGATGCTAAGTCGGAACC